AACATTGGGAATCCGTTTTATTTTCCTTTTATTTTAAGTTAAAGTTTTAATAGTTTTGTTGTCTTTCTCTCTTTTTTTTTTATATGTCTATATTTTTATTTTTTTTATTTCATTTTTAATTATTTTAGAAAATCAGGTTAAATTACATTTTAAATTAAATGTAAATGAGAAATGTTTCAGTTAACATTTATTTGATTTCAAGTAACAATGATTTTTTATTTTAGTTTTAGTTTTTAGTTTTTGGTAACTATAATAACCCTAACTGGGACACCACTCAATAAATGAAACATGCAACATCGCGCATTCATGGGACAATGTAGCATACGATTTATCAGACAGATACATCAGAAACGTTTATTACTGCATGCTGCTTCATATACTTTTCTACTAGGCAGAATACATTATATCTTGCCCAGTATGCTAATATTCCATTCAGTAAGCACTACCATCATGTTTCATCTTCATAAGCTTTCCCAAAAGTCTCTCTCTCTCTCTCTCTCTCTCTCTCTCTCTCTCTCTCATTAGGGTGTTTGTTATAAACATCAGTATGGATGAGTGAGAGTGGTCAAAGGGCACGTAGCCTTGTCACACTCCCTGCAGCGCTGCTGTCTGTGTGTTGGGCAGAGAGGAGCCTTTTAAACAGGAGTTCAGAATGCAGAAAGCTCACTTTACACACCAGTAGGTTGGTGTGTGAACAGAGAAGCCATCTTATTTTGGAAAATAATGTTATTTTCAAACGCTTACCCAAAATGATGCTTATATGCACACTATATTTGCTGATATATATGCATATAAATGACAGTAGTGGTTAGTGTATCAGACTGACAATACCAACCTTGTGGCGAGCCACAGCCGCGGAAAAAGGGCACTGGAGAGGTCACGTTCCTGCTCATTTCCTGACTGGGGTCTGTGTGTGTCCGCCAGGTAGGAACGTAACAGTGACAGCACCTGTGAAGAAGATGACACATCTTTAGTATAAGAATAAGCTGGAGAGAAAGAAATAGAGAGATCAGAGATTGAGATCACAGAGAGAGATCATGTGGAGTACTTTTTATGATGGATGGACGCACTTTATTTTGCTTCAAAATCTCAACACCCATTCACTGCCATTATAAAGCTTGGAATAGCCAGGACATGTTTTTGTATATATAACTCTGATTGTATTCGTCTGAAAGAAGAAAGTCATATACACCTAGGATGGCTTGAGGGTGAGTAAATCATGGGGTAATTTTCATTTTTGGGTGAACTATCCCTTTAATTGTGATCACAGATCAGAGATCAGATATAAATCAGAGATATCAGAGAAAACAGAGAAAGAGAATTCAAAGAGATTAGACAAAAATCTAAGAAAAGACAGAAACCAGAGAGGGGTCAGACTTAGACAAATCAGAAGCCAGACAGATAAATAACAGATCAGATCAAATAGATAAATCAGATAGAGATCAGACAGAGACATTAAAGAGAGATATCAGATACATAAATCAGAGATTAGACAAATAAATAAGAGAGGGATCAGATATAGACATTACAGATAAAAATCAGATCAGATAAATCAAAGAGAGAGATCAGACATCAGACAAAGATCAAAGAGATAGTTCAGACAGAGACGTCAGAGATCAAAGAGAAATCAGAGAGACAAATCAGATAGAGACAACAAATAGAAAAATCAGACAGATAAATAACAGAGATCAGACATAAAACTCAGAGATAGATCAGACATCAGATTTCAAAGAGAGATATCAGATACAAATATCAGAACATTAAAAAAAGAGGTATCAGAGACATTAAAGTGAGAAATCAGATCAAATAGATATATCAAAGAGATCAGAGAGAGAGAGAAAAAAATCAGACAGATAAATCAGATAGACCAGACTAAGACTGCAGAGATCAGAAAGAGAAATCAGAGAGATAAATCACAGAGATCAGACAGATAAAGAGAGAGATCAAAGACAGAAACCAGGCAGATAAATAGCAGAGATCAGACTGACAGTAAGAGAGAGATCAGACAGAGATATCAGACAAAGATCAAAGAGAGATATCAGATACATAAATCAGATCTAACAAATGAACAAGAGCGGGAACAGACAGATAAATCAGAGACAGATCAGACAGAGACATCAAAGGGATCAGAGAGAAACCAGAGAGAAAAATCACAAAGGCATCAGACTGATACATCGGAGACAGATCAGACAGATACATCAAAGGGATCAAAGATAGAGATAAATCACAAAGTGATCAGGCTGATACATCAGAAACCAAAGAGAAACCAGACAAGATAAATCTCAGAGGGATCAGATAGAGAAATCAGAGAGAGATCTGACAAATAATTCAGGAATCAGACATATAAACCATAAAACGATCAGACAGATAAATCACAGAGGGATCAGATAGAGATCAGACATAGAAGTTGGAAAGACACCAGACAGAGAAATTAGAAAGACAGATCAGATTCTTCATTAGTTCATCTTAAACAAAAAGAGATAGCAAACAGGGATCAGGCAGAAAATCCGTTTCTTTAGCTTATCTTACATATCCTTACATATAACAGTCTGTAGAAAGAAAGAAAATAAAGTGAATGGATAGTAGACAACTTGCATACAAGGTAAAAGAGTGCACAGCAGGCTGAAATAGTCTTTACTGGGCTATAGCCGCAATCAGGAAGCCACTCATTATGCCCCAGACAGGAGAAGCACGGGGCAAAACAAGTTTGACCATGAAGTACCAGGCCTGGTCTTCCAGCCGAGGCCTGCTCGCGCCATTGGTTGGAAAGGCCCATGACGGCCAGCCTCTTATGCACCCTCGGTGCTTGTATTTATAGTGACGAAATACACAACTTGTGACTGACCACAAACCGATGGCAGCGGTTAAAGGCAAAAATAAACATCCCATAGAGGTCCATAATTCAGCAGAGTGTACAGAGAGCCGTGCACACATTTAGAAAAGAAACATGCACAAACAAACACCAGCACACGGCCTGAATACAGTGCTGGATGCTGATCTTTGACACACTAAGACCTTTGGGTCGGCCGTTAAATAAGACTGCGAGGAAATGTTTTAAAAGCCAACCTGTGGGCGGATGCTTTTATGAGTAGATTTGGAAAGTCTGGACACAATCTGAATTAAGCTCATTTGTCTCATCAGTTTGACTTTGTTTTTTTACAGGCTTTTCCTTACAGCAGAAACAAAGCTCGTGGGTGTTTCAAAGCTGATTGAAGCGGTCACTAAATCCAGACCTTTGGCAGCAATGCACAACAAAGAGGAAACGCACAAAAAATACTTGATACACTTACAACGTGTCCTAATCAGTCATGATGAGACAAGTTTGCTGTGACAAATAATTTGTCATCAAGAAAACAAAATCAAGAAAACAAAAATCATGCAAGATGTAATACAAATTAGTACATATTTAAAATGTTTAATATACATTTATGTGGAGTGGGATTTTAGACCAATGACATTTCACTGTGGGTCGACCTATCCAGCACAAAAAAAATAAAAAAAGTGAGGAAAATGAATATATGAATTTATGGATCCTTCCCATCCACTACGATGCAGTTTGAGAAATACATTTTTATTTGAGACACTAAGTACAAAAAAAAGCACCATTACACAAATACTCTGTATTGTGTCTATATCAGAGATGGCAAAAGTACACACATCCTTAACTCAAGTAGAAGTACAGATACTCATGTTTAAAAATGCTCGGGTAAAGGTTGAAGTACTGACTACACTTTTTTTTTACTCAAGTTAAAGTAAAGAAGTATGGGCTCTGACATGTACTCGAGTAAAAAGTAGCCATTACTACTACCTGTTTTAGTGTCACGTGGGTAACGGGCAGTGGTGGAAAGAGTACTGAAAAAATATACTCAAGTGTCAACAAGTTCCACAAGCAACAACGACTAAGTGACCGCTGCAGAACGCACACGAGAGAGGCAGTGCAGATCGCGTGTCTCATAAGTGAGTGGGAATTGTTGCCTAAATGTCAAAATTAGTACAACAATAACTACACCATCACAATATATTTAAAGAAAAGTCCTACTATTGAACATGTTATTGCATTGTCATGAGTCATATTTTTCCCTTATGAAAATTAACTATGGTTTTATTATAGTAAAAGTATAGTAACCATAGTTTTACTATGGATGTGAGGCCATTTGTGCATTTTAAGAGAGAGAGAGAAGAAAGAGAGAGAGAGGACGCTGTACTGCTGAATCACTCACACTGTTTGTGAAATTACGTCTCACAGAAAGTTTTAAAATGACTGAACTGCTCTGATAAACTGTTTGGATTCAATCTACTGTACATGCTATAGTGCAGAAATGTTTCCGGGAATTTCCCGCATTATAAACATGAAACCTGCAGGAATGTGTAGAATTATGCGCAATCCTGCACCGAAATTAAGGCCCTGCTTAACCAAGTAAACAAAGACAAAACAGTAGCCTATTTACAGTTGAAACTGACCTGCACTTAAAGTCCTGAACAGATCAGAGATTTCGCCTCTCCGCTCCACCATTCTCGAGTCTCTCGCACTGATTACTCTGATCAAAACCTTTTGGCGAGGAGCACACGAGCCGAATCGAAGCGTTGCCAGTCAAGACTAACCGACTCATGATTTATTAGAGATTTATTATGGCGAAAATACAGATTAAAACTAAACAAGCCTGTTTTGAAAATGTAATAAGTAGAAAGTACAGATATTTGTGTAAAAATGCAAGGAGTGAAAGTAAAAAGTTGTCAGAAAAATAAATAGTGAAGTAAAGTACTGATACCAGAAAAATCTACTTAAGTACAGTAACGAAGTATTTGTACGTCCTTACTTCCCATCTCTGCTCTATATTAATAAACATTTATTTTATATGCACATGGTGAGAAATAAAAAGAATAATCCGGCTGTTCAAAACAAAACAAAACACTAATAAACACAGAAACAAAACAAAACAGGAAAAAAAATGGCTGTTCTCCATTTACAAAACAAAACCAAATACACACACAAACTAAACAAACAAAAAAAAACTAAAGAAAACCAAATACACTCAGAAACAAAACAAGGATAAAAAAAAAACAGTAATAAAATTAAAAATCGGACTGTTCTCAATTTACAAAATAAAATTAAACAAACAAACAAAAAAATTCACACAGAAGAACAAATCTGGCTGTCCATTTACAAAACAAAACTAAAAAAATTAAGGTGAACATTCATTCATCCATTCATCCATTCATTCATCCATTCATAAATAAATATTGGTCTGCTCTCACTTAAAAAAAAAAGAAAAAAAAAAAGAAAAGAAATACATGCACAATATCATAAGCTGAAGCAGCACAAAGTGTGTGTACACTAGTGTGTGCGTGCAAGACCCCCATTGATTGCAGTATGTCTGCAGATCTGATTCACTGTTGTCAAAACACACAGCGGATTAATTTCCCTGTAGGACCTGGATGTTACCCAGGACTTTTAAAAAGAAGCTGCTGCATTGTGGGTAAGTGACAGTGTTGGAGAGCGCTCGGTGCAGGGGCCGAGGCGTCAGGTTAGGTTAGTGATGCTCAATCTGTTTCCCTTGTTAGCCAGCTTCCAAAGGGAACCAGCGAGTTGTGTCAACAGGGATTTTTAGGTGAACTCAAGCGTTTTACTCCGCAAAGCTGGTTTTGTAATCAAAATGGCACTTTGAAACAGTGCTGACACACTACTTCATCTCATCCTGATATCAAAACTCTGTAATGCAAATTGAGGGTTGTGGGTGTTGTGTTAAGGAAGGTGTACATACAGTAAAATCTATTTGTATATAGACTCACAGGCATCTGATTCAAACAAAGAACAAAAAGGCTTTAATTCAGGTTTGATACAACAACATCTGCAACCTGTTTTCCTCCCACCCCCGCTTTTTCTGTTTTTCGTATTTCATTTTCTCTTGCCATATCGGTTTAAACAAAAACACACTGTATCATTTGCTTGCAGTCAGTAATATCCAAAGGAATGTTAGAGTGATTAATTTTGCACTACAGAGATGATTATTTGTAATACAGAGATGAATGACACCTCAACTTAGGTTATTTTTCTAAGGCCCCGTCCACACGGAGACACGTTTAGCTGTATACGCATAAATTTTGTATCGTATAGGTGTTTTGTCCAGATGGATCCGGCGTTTTGGGAGAGTGAAACCGATCTTTTTTGAAACCGGGTCCCAGAGTGGATAAATCTGAGAACGCCGCCCTTGCGTTTTCGTGTGGACAGCGAATCCGTGTATTTTCTGAAACGATGACGTCATCAGCCCGTCAGCTACGTCACGTAACAGCAAAAAAAACATGAACAAACACTGAACGATTGTCTTTTTATTAACTAACATTAACACAGATTAATAAATGTATTGTTCCATGTTCGTTTGTATACCGCGTGCAAGGTTTATGCGCATAGTCCAAGTCTTCTTCTCCGTTTATTAGTGTATCTCTGTGGCAGAATTACAGCGCCACATGCTGTTCTGGCATGTATACTACATCGTTTCGTGGTTTCGTGTGGACGCAGATATTTCTTGAGACGAGGTGAAAAAAGATCGGATAGGGAAAGCTCTGGCTTCGTGTGGACGTAATGGACGACACCTGGTAATCATCCTAAACACCCTATCAACCACCTAGCAACCCACTAAGAACATTACAGAAATAACACTCAGAACACTTCAGTGACTGGAGGATCAGAAATATCTCAGATCTTCATTTGTGTTTCAAAGATTAACGTTAATTCTTATGGGTTTGGAACGACATACGAGTTAGTAAATGATAGCAGAATTTTCCTTTTTGGGTAAACTATCCCTTTAAAAACTCAGGAACACAGATGTAAAAACAAAGCCATGCACAGGGAGTGCCATCTTTATCTATCTCTCAGTTGATGCTGCGATCCACACGTACACCACTCCTGCATGCAATTCAGGTATTCGCATCAGATAGCAGCATGAGGGCAGTTCTCCACTGAAAGCATCATGACGTTATCTCCAGCTGATCTGAACATACTTCACACCATCAGCTCCCCCCTCCACCCACACACACATAGAGACAAGATTATGTATCATGAGCCTGTTATCTGTTCCTAATCTGGTTGTACACACAAACATCCATCATTTCCATATTCAAAGAGTCAAGAGAGAGCCAGTGTTACACAGCAAATCGAAAACACAGTTAAACATAGAAAAATATAAAGCCCTCTCACTCTCGATTTCCCTTTCTTTTGAAGTCTCATGTAATTCTCTTTTTATTTATTCACTTATTTTTGATATATGCTTACTGGCCTTTTACAAAGCAAACAGGGTCATATCATATCATATCATATATCATATCATAAAATAATGAAATTAAATTAAATGAAATAATTAACTTTAAGAAGTCTCTTAATTTTAGTCTCTTATCCACACGTACACCACTCCTGCATGCAATTCAGGTATTCGCATCAGATAGCAGCATGAGGGCAGTTCTCCACTGAAAGCATCATGACGTTATCTCCAGCTGATCTGAACATACTTCACACCATCAGCTCCCCCCTCCACCCACACACACATAGAGACAAGATTATGTATCATGAGCCTGTTATCTGTTCCTAATCTGGTTGTACACACAAACATCCATCATTTCCATATTCAAAGAGTCAAGAGAGAGCCAGTGTTACACAGCAAATCGAAAACACAGTTAAACATAGAAAAATATAAAGCCCTCTCACTCTCGATTTCCCTTTCTTTTGAAGTCTCATGTAATTCTCTTTTTATTTATTCACTTATTTTTGATATATGCTTACTGGCCTTTTACAAAGCAAACAGGGTCATATCATATCATATCATATATCATATCATAAAATAATGAAATTAAATTAAATGAAATAATTAACTTTAAGAAGTCTCTTAATTTTTTTAAAGAAGTCTCTTTACCAAGGCAAACATACAGTAAAAACAGTAATGTTGTGATTATTGAATTTTACTACACTTATTATATATTACAACTTCAAATAACAATTTTCTATTTGAAATATTTAAAAAATTTAATTTATCCCTGTGATGAAAGGCTGATTTTTTTAGCAGTCATTACTCTTTAGTGTCCCTTGATCATAATTATCTCTCACGCTTAAGAACAAAACTAAAGCATCAGATGGCAGGCATTTCACATAAAGACTTGAAGAATTCCTCCCATGTCTAAATAAACCGCAGCATAAGACAGTTATCTGCCACCACCTGTCACCAGAGCACAACCCACACAACATCCCTCACGCAGACCTCAGCGATTCCTCACCGCAGTCTAATTCCCTCCACACATCTGCAGGAGCTTTGAGCAGATATATGACTGCCATAACAGGAAAGAACACCAAATCCAGCTCTTTCCTTACCGAGCACATCTTCATCAGCTCTCCATAAGCTTGCAGATTATTCCAGTTCCATGTCCAGAAACCTGCTATAGTGTCAAAATTATAACATCTCACTGTCTCTATCTACATTTACCTAAGCTTCTAGGTTTTATATTGATGCTTGTTGAGCACTTAAAGGGGTCATATGATGCTTTTTTAAAGATCATTATTTGGTGTAACAGAATATGTTGACATGCTTTAATGTTCAAAAAACACATTAATTGCTGTTCTGTTGTAAGTGATCTTAAAGATTCCTAAATGCATCTACTTTTGGAAGGCCAAATAAAGTGCTTTTGCTTTTGCCTAGAAACACACAGCGTCTCCCTGACATGGCTGCATCAACACTAACTGCGGTTACTGAAACCACGCCTTCTTTCTTTGCGTGCACATTTGGGCGGCATTATGCAAATATTTCCACATAGTGAGGTAGATATGTGGGGGCGTGCTAGAACGAGCCGTTTTAGGGGGGCATGGCAGAGTCTTAACTTTGATCAAGTATATCTCTTTGGTTTTGAGACTTTAGTCTTTGCAACTTCAGGGATCTTATCTATGCACAATCAGCTTGTAACACTCCAAAGAGAAAGGAAAACTTGAAATCGCATCATATGACCCCTTTAAATCTCCTCATCTGGTTCAATAATGTGTGTCTGTAATTTGTATTCTTAAGTCAGAGGCAAGTTAAAGTCGAGCTTGCAATATTCCTCAATGCATTTCCATCTGCGTCCCCATCATTTGCTGGGTGCATGAAAAACAATGCATGTTTTTTACTAAACAAGTCAACACTTTTTGTTTCAAAAGAGAACAATTAATTCAGGTATCATCTTCTTTCAGAGAAAACCACAATTGAAAAACAAATGTAAAGGTTTTTGCAAATACTTTATACTATTGTAATTTATACTACTGTAAAAGGGGGATTCGCACACCTGAAGCAGTGTTCCATGGATGTGGTTTTGTTGGAGTCCTGTTGGAGTCCTTTGAGAATGTAATTTATTCCTGTGATTCAAAGCTGAATTTTCAGCATCATTACTCCAGTCTTCAGTGTCACATGATCCTTCAGAAATCATCGCTCCTCAAGAGACATTCTTTATTATTATTATCATCAAAGTTGAAAACCATTGTGCTGCTTGATATTTATGTGGAGACCATGATACATTTTTTCAGGATTTTATGATGCATAAAAAGTTCAAAAGAACAGCATTTATTTGAAATAGAAGTCTTTACTGTCACTTTGATCAATTTAATGCATCCTTGCTAAATAAAAGTATTCATTTCTTTCCAAAAAAGAAAATCTTACTGACCTGCATTTACTGAAACATTTTGTTTTGTAAAGAAATTGATACATAGGAAAAATTTATAGCTGCCTACAAAACTAATATAAAACATTCCAACATGAGCCTTTTAGATCAAAGGAATTTAAAATCATGAGAAAAAAACAAATTCATTAAACTGCATTCAAACTTTTACCGGTACTATATTTTATGTACAAATATAAATGTTATAGATTCCTGGTAGGGGATGGGGTCTTGGTGATTTCATTTTCAGAGCAGCCTCCTGATGACTGAGATGACTGCTTTGCAAGCACTAAATCAAAGAAGCCTCTCCAAGGCTCTGGAAACTCCCAAGAACCTCCAGAGACATGAAATAGGGAATATCCATCCATCGAAAAGTGGGGGATAGGGTGGGAAAAAGAAAAACCATGTAGCGATCAATGTAGATAAATGAATGGATGTTCAACAGATGAACAAATAGAAACAAAAAATAAACCACAGCTAGACTTGCAAAGCTGTGATTCGGATCTGCTGACAGAAGATGGAAGCAAGCATGGAGGTATGAGTTCGTGTTAACATTTTCATTCTTTACCAGATCTGACCTCATACCATGAAGGTCACATATGGATTCTGAAGGGGGCATGTTAATCTGTACAATAACAACTTCTGTGGAGGCGAATTGAACACAAGCCATAACAAACTAAACATTAAGTTACATAAAACTACTGTTCCTGGGAAAGAAACGGCGTACAACACTTGCCAATGGGATATTGTGCACTTCTATAACCTGCTTATACACATTGGCATCATATTGACAACATTCACAGTCAGTGTTTAGGTTTGGAGCTTGAATAGTCAAGCACCTCTTTCTAAAACTCTTTCCGTTTTACAATCAAATTATATGTAATAGCTAGGTTATAATTTTGGGGCTGAACGCGATGAATGATGGGATTCGTTTAGCCTGAAATACTGCTCCGAAACAGTATTAGAGTTTGCAGATTTTGAGTACTTCATTGGATTACAGGTAATAATATTGTAAATAAATGTTCAGTTTCTTGCACAGATCTATTGTTTCGCTTCATAAGGAGCGAATTGAATTGCTGCTGTTGTTGGTTATTGCTGTTGTTGTATACTGCTGCTGCTGCTGCAAAGCAAGTACAGGAACTTGCTACTGCCAATACATACACCGATACGGTGCTGTGAGTATTCAAGACATACTGCTGATGCACAAGTAGCATGTATAATAACATATATTATAACAATGCTGTCTCTCATCATTTCACTGATTAGCCTCTAGTCTGCCTGTGTTTTGGAGGAGGCGTGGCTTTGGAGAGCGATTTCCATAATTGCCTACCCTACTTTTAAGTAACTTGCCAAACTCTTGCTAACATGTTCACAAGTGGGTGTAGGTTGAACCCTTCATCACTTTAGTTTTAGGTCATGCCATTACACAAACAGCCATGTCGGGCATGATGTCTTGTATGTAACATGTTTAGTGCAGGGTAAGCAAGTGGGACATGATAATATAGAAAGATAGGGTGGAGCATGTCATACGCAAGTCAACTTCCACCAGCCACTAGTATTTGTGCTATACAGACTGTACTCTCTAAATGGAACCGAAAGAAAGCAGGAGACGCCAACAACAGCCTGCCAGTTACACACAGACAGTCACATTAAACCACATGGCATACATGTTGCCTTCAGCAGACACAGCATGACAACAGTCCGCAGACGCGTCACATGATGCACTCACAGAGACCCATTTGTGGCACAGTAATTTCCTACTGCTAAATTCTGAAAAAACAGAGGTGTTAATTATTGGACCAAAAACCTCTGCATGTAATAACCTAGAACACTGTCAAACATTGATGGCTGCTCTGTCAAATCTTTGTCATCAGTTAGGAATCTGGGTGTGCTATTTGATAGCAATCTTTCCTTTGAAAACCATGTTTCTAGTGTTTGTAAAACTGCGTCTTAAACATATATCTAAATTACGACCTATGCTCTCAATGTCAAATGCAGAAACGTTAATCCATGCATTCATGACCTCAAGGTTAGATTATTGTAATGCTTTATTGGGTGGTTTTAAAATCTTGCTAGTTACTTATAAAGCCTGGAATGGTTTAACTCCTCAGTACTTGAGCGAGCTCTTATCACATTATAGTCCTTCACGTCCGTTATGATCTCAAAACTCTGGCCATTTGATAATACCTAGAATATCAAAATCAACTGTGGGCGGCAGATCCTTTTCCTATTTAGCGCCC